CTTTTTTTTTTTTTTTTTTTTTTTTTTTTTTATTGTGGTACCGGGGATCGAACGCTGGACCTTGAGCTTGCGAGGCAGGTGGCAGAACCGCTGAGCTAAATCTCCGGCCCCATTCCTTTCCTTTCTTAGTAGTCTTACACATTCAGTTTCTCGTTAAGTTTAGTTCTTTTTTATGGCACCCTTTTTAATCTGAGTGTGGAGGCAGAGTGGAAAGGTGACCCTGGGCACAGCCCTGCTGTGGGGGACGGGCACTAGATTATGTGGTACCCTGAGCTTGCAGTTCCTTCATGTCCGTACCCCTTTCTCCTCAGGGGTGACAGAGTAAACCCTTGCTCATGGCAGACCGGCAGAGCAGCTGGCAGTACCAGGCTTGTTTGGTCTGAGATGGCCAAGTGTATCAGTCAGCTTTCCCTGTGAGACCCAGCACCGGACCCCTGCAGCTTAAAGGAGGAGAGCTTTGACTTGGCTCACGCTTTCAGGGGATTCAGTCCGTGGTCGGCCGGCTCCCAGGCAGGAACATCATGGCGGAAAGGCCTGGCGGAGCAGAGCTGCTCGGCTTATGGTGTCGGGAAGCAGGGAAGGGGACACCGCCTGAGAGGAGGGGCCGAAGGCCACGTGTCCATGACCCACCCAGACACACCCAGCCGTGTGCCCACCCTTCCCAGGGCAGATCCCAAGCCCATCCAGGTGGCACCCACCCTAACTCTCACAGGTGCTGAGAACAGGAACTGGGCCTAAATTGTAGCTCTGCCGCTCACTCTGTGTGCTTGGGCATTGACAGAACTTCTCAGAGCCACGGTCCCACGGGGTGGGGAGGCTAACTGAGGTCACACGCATAAAATGCCAAGCTGTGCCACTCCCAAGAGGCAGGCCCTGGCTGGCCATTTATGTGTTTTCCTCCCCTGTATGCAGCTTTCCTAAAACGTGTGCTTCTGACGAGGTCCTTTTCTCGTTTTCACGTCACAGATGATATCTCTCGTGTGAAGCTTTCAGTCCAGACCCACTCTACTGACGACTACATCAATGCCAACTACATGCCCGTAAGTGGGTACCGGGTTAGCCCCACAGACCCCTCAGGGCACCTCCCTCTGTGCCCTCGACGCTGAAGCTGTGCCTTCCGTCCTAGGGCTACCATTCCAAGAGGGATTTTATCGCCACACAAGGACCTCTGCCCAATACTCTGAAAGACTTTTGGCGTATGGTGTGGGAGAAAAATGTACATGCCATCGTCATGTTGACCAAGTGTGTAGAACAGGGAAGGGTAAGTTATTTTTTAAAAAAATTCATATTAATTAATTTTTATCATGGTGGAAGCCTTAAAAACCATTTGTCTTAAAAAATATGTACTGCTCTTAAGCATTGGCATCCTTGTTTGTAGAAATTTGTTTTCTGTGTCCTTGCTGGGTTAGCAGGTAGCAGGGGTGAGGACTGTGTCCCAGGTCAAGGGACAGCTGCTGCATGGCACCTCAAAATCAGTTTTCCTGCAGAATGAAGGTCCAGCATGGGCAGGTCTGGGTTTTCAAGTAAACCTCAAGTTTCATGAGAAAGTGCCCCATTTGAAAAGACTTGGCAAGAATTTTAGATTGAAAGCAAAGTATTCTAAGGGCCCCAGAGAACCCAGCCAGTGGACTGACTCTGTCCCCATTGCCAGTTTTATTTCCTGCTCTTCCTTTTTGCTTTTGAGTCAGGATCTCGCTGTGTCGCCCAGGCTGGCCTTGAACTCGTGGTGATCCTCCTGCCTCGGCCTCCTGAGTGCTGGGGTCACAGGCGTGCGCCACTGTGCCTTGTCTTCCCTTGGAGGCTTTTGTGATGGCAGATCTGTGTGTTTTCATAAAAACGCAATTTTATTCTAGACCAAATGTGAGGAGTACTGGCCTTCTAAGCAGGCCCAGGACTATGGGGGTGTAACCGTGGCGATGACATCAGAAATTGTCCTCCCTGAATGGACCATCCGAGACTTCACGGTGAAAAATGTAAGTAAGAGGTCCAGGTAGCCAGAACTCAGAAAATTTCTCTCTGTTAACTTGGGGGTGTATTTTAAGTTTGCAAACTGAGTTGTTCGGAGCCGAGGCATCGCTGTAATTGGATTCCTGGGCACGAGCACATTGTTTTCCTCACCCTCTAAGTCAAATCATGCAGGCATTTCTTGAAGTCCAGTTTGTGTCCTTTTTCTCTTTTGAAGGCTGTTTGAAAGAGGCAGTGCTGTGCAGTGACGGTGGGCTCCACTGGGGGGCGTGGGAATGCGTTCAGCCCTTTGCAGATCACATCCAGGGCCTGAAAATGCCCCTCCCTTTGATCTCACGGCTCCCAGCCTCGGTCCCAGATAAACAATCTGAAATCCAGGAATAGAAATATTTGTCCCGAAAGAGGAACGCCAGCATTGTTTGTACTGGAGGAAAATACTGGAAACCTTGCGAACGCCCAGCCTTCTGAGAATCGATGACCAAACCGTGGCCTCACTGCTTTCGGTGTCCTCGGTCAGCTGTTGGAAGGGCGGGTGTAGACTCCACAGCCAGCCCCGTTTGTCCAGGGGTTCCGATCCCAGTGGCGCTCAGAATTATTCGGAGAGATACCGCGTGCGTGCAGACTCCCTTTTCTGGTCGTTTTCCCTAACGAACACAGCACGGCAGCTGCACGCTGTGGTTCAGGTGTTACTGGCGTCTACACTGGAGTGCAGGTATTGTAGGCAGTGCGGGGATGAGGGCCGGACGCGCACAAGCCCAGGCGGTGACACATCTGGGCTCCGTGTGCGTTGGCCCCTGGCCGTGCAGCCCTTGACCCAAGCCGCAGCGCACGGCGGGCTGTCCCCCGTGTAGTAGGGAGGGCCTGGAGCCGCGGGGCGCAGGCTCGCGTGACGACTTAACAGCAGGAGGAGGTGTTAGGAGGCAGTCTGAGCGACAGTCAGGAGCTCACCGAGCTCACCGGACTGGGGGCGGCTGGGAGGCAGATTCAGGGAGCCTCAGGGGGCGGGCTGGGCCGCGGCTGCAGGGCGGTCTAGGAAAGCACGATCCTAGGTGCTGCTGCGTCTCAGAGCCTGGCCTCTCCTTCCCGCACCCCCAGGGAGGTGCTTCTCCGGTTCCCGCGCCGGGTCCGTGGTTATTGCCATGCCGGGGCTTTCGGGGATGGCGCGTGGGTTTGCCCCACTGTTTAAAGCATCGCTGTTCTAGGCGTCGTGGTGCGCACGCCTGCAGGGAGGCCAGCCCGGCAGTTTAGCAACGGAGGAGGCCCTGTCTCAGAATAAGAAGCACAGAAGAGCTGGGGGTGCAGCTCACTGTGAAGGCCATGGGGTAAAAAATTGCTATTGTGATTTAGAAAAAAATAACTTCAGATTTCACGTGTTTCCACTAAACTTTTGCTTATTCTCGGAGTCAACCCTGGGTACCGCGTGACATTTAGTGAAATATTATTTTTACACAAAATGCACTGATACATTTTCCTGAGCATCCGCTTGCTGCTTTGCTGCCTGTGGCCCCCACGCTCAGGCCCTCTGGGGAGCGGACATTGGGTGGTCCTTGCCCAGCAGGTGTCCTGCCTCATGTGGGATTTGGTAAATCACGTTTGGTTTTGTGCTTCACCAGGTGCTAAGGAGGTAGGGATGTAGGCTGTGAATCTGTTACTGGTTGGCAGCCAGAGCAGGGAGAGATCCGAATTCAGACCCCGCGTGCTCGGTACCTTGCCGCCTCTGAGCTAAGACAGGTGTCGGGCAATTCATCCTACTTCTCTAAATCTTGGCTCCTCCTTTTTTGTTTGTTTTTTTTTTTGGTACCAGGGATCAGACTCGGGACCTTGCACTTTTGAGGTTGGCAGCGGAACCCCGGAGCTAAATCCCCAGCCCTTTGGCTCCTCTTTGGAGACATACTGGGCTTGAACCTGGAAGCCTGTACCTGAGCTGTATCCTCGGCTCATCTCATTATTTTTATTTAAAAGTTTTGAGATAGGGTCTCACTGTCACTAAGTTGCCATGGCTGGGCTTGGGCTTGCCTTTCCGTGTCCCCGGGTGGCCGGGAACCCCTGCCTCTGACCCCTCTGCTGACTTGTAGGTCCAGACGGGTGACAGCCACCGGCTGAGACAGTTCCATTTCACCTCCTGGCCTGACCACGGCGTCCCGGACACCACAGACCTGCTCGTCAACTTCCGGTGCCTGGTTCGTGATTACAGGAAGCAGAGTCCTCCGGAGTCCCCGATTCTGGTGCACTGCAGGTACAGGGGGTGTGCACGTGTGACAGCTCGGGTGTCCCCCTGTGTTTCTGAGCGCTGCGGAAATTGCCAGGTGTTGATGATCCACGACGGTCACGGGAGGTTCATGTGTGGCTCATTCCCTTGGCCCTGAGATTCCAGTGCAGGGCTTGGCGAGCTATAGCCTGTGGCCAGATCCGGCGAGCTGTGCCCCTGGTTCGCATGTTGTTAATGGTTGCATTTATGCTACTGTGGCAGAGACTGTGTGCTCTTCGGAGTTGAAGGTATTTTCTATCTATAGAAAAAGCATGTCCATTGCTACTCTACAACAATAAGAAATTAGCTTTAAAGTTAAAGGAATTAAGATGGGCGTGTGGTGTATACCTGTAATCCCAGCACTTGGGAGGCTGAGGCAGGAGGGTCCCTGAGAGTTGGGGGCCAGCCTGGGCTACATAGTGAGACCCTGTCTCAAAAAACAAACCAAAAAATACAATTAAAAGAATTAACTTAGGGCTGAAGAAAGAGTGGCTTTGTTGCCTGCGGCCCTTCTGGGTTGCTGTAGCAATTTGAACAGGACCGAGATTTAAGAGGCTCTAACAAGGCATCTTATTTGTGGTGCTGGACTCAAAAGTAAGTCTGGGACTCAGGCCTCAGTGCCAAGGTAGTGAAGCCTGACTTGCTGAGGTTTCCGGGGAGCAATGTTTGCTCAGATCCATTGCCCCAAATGGTGGCTGTGACCAAGCGTCGGATGTGTGTAGAGGTAGGGCAGGTGGAGGGCCACGGAGAAGGTGCCCGTCTGACACCCACTTTCCCTCCCTTTCAGCGCGGGCGTTGGGAGGACCGGCACTTTCATTGCCATCGATCGTCTCATCTATCAGATGGAGAATGAGAACACGGTGGATGTGTATGGCATTGTGTACGACCTCCGCATGCACCGGCCCCTCATGGTGCAGACAGAGGTGAGGCCTGACCCTTCCCGCTTCCCCTCCGTGTCTGGAGGATCCTGTGAGATCACACGACGGGAGTGAAATAGTTCACACCTCCTGTCACATGACCTGGCTTTCTTGGCAGCCTCTAAACTGAGCAGATACAGGTGTCACAGCGGGACTGGTGTCAGGAACGGAACCTTACACCCTCATCTGTCGGCATGTTCTTTACCGTATGCCTGTGACTTATCAAATAATCTTCCCAAGACTCTGGACTCCGCTTCCTGGGTGTAAACTTATGAAACTGGTATTTTTCATTTTTTGTTTCTAAGCAGTTCTGACCATCTTTTAAAATGTGCTGATGAAAAAGGCTTATCAAACTGAATGTAGTGGCACACACTTGGAATCCCAGCACTTTGGGAGGCTGAGGCAGGAGGATCGCAACTTCAAACCCAGCCTGGGCAATTTACCAACTGTTTCAAAATAAAAATAAAAGGGTTTGGGATGTTAGCTCAGTGTAAAGGCCCTGGATTGATCCCCAGTACTACAACCAAACCAAACCAAACAAAAGCAAAACAAAGCAAAAATGAACAAGCAACCAGACTCATCAATCATGGATGTTAGGAGGTAGCCTGCTGTGTTTAAGCATGAAGCAGTGTGTCCTCACCCAGCCTCGTGAGTGTGAGTTGTCAGAGTCCCAGGGCGGCCCCAAGATGAGGACAGAACATTCATTTCTAGCAGGCCACGGCCCTGGACCAGCGGAGCTCTCACGGGGCGAGCGGTGGGTCTGGGCGGGAGTGTCCAGGTCTGGGTTGACTGCCTGCTTTTTGGGGGGAAGCTGCAGTCTGTGTGGGCTTTGATTCCCATGTTGATCAGAAGGAAGAATTTCACGTCTTCTGCTCTGTGCAGAATAGTATTTCTTAATCTCTTATGCTTCTTTGAGAAGCAGAAATTTTATGCTTGCAGATGCTTTTCTCATCTTTGAGAACAGTCAGTCCTATAGATATGTGTGTGTGTATATATATATATATATTTTTTTTTTGTTGTTGTTGTTGTTGTTTTGTTTGTTCGTTTGTTTTCTTTTTTTGAGACAAGGTTTCAATATATAGTTTAGGCCGGCCTTGGACTCATGGCGATCCTCCTGCCTTGGCCTCTGAAGAACACCTAGTCATATTACAATTTTTAATAACATAGATGCATGTATCATATATTTTTCCTTTTCCTTCTCCCCTCCTAATCCTGCTCCCTAGCGATGGGCATGTAACCTTATTTTTTATTTGTTTTTTGTAATGGGTATTTAGCCCAGGGTCTTTGCGCTGAGCTGTACCCCAGCCCTTTTTGTTGTTGTTTTGCTTTTTGCAACAGAGTCTCGCCCTGCGGTGTAGACTGATCCTCCTGCCTGCATATTTAAAAGCCTTTGAACTTTTATTAGTGTTTGCAGTATGCAGCAATTACATCCACTGTGGGGGTCTGGGACCTGCACATGGCGCATCCCGATCCCGTTTAGTCCCCTCCCTCTCCCCTCCACCCCTAGGTTCTCTTCCCGTTTACAAGATCTGTTCCCTCCTGGTTATCTTTTCTTTGCTCTTTCTTTATACTTGGGGCTTCTCCCATAGGAGAAGTTATGCGATATGGGAGCTGAAATATCTGATTGATTTCACTTTGCCTCGTGCCCTCAAGGTGCGTGTGCACCTGTGGACACATTCGCGTTCGCGCCTGCGTGCACACCCACGCGAGCGTTTGGAGAGCATCTCATCCTCTTTGGGACGTGACACTTCCTTCCCCTGCGGTATCGCAGATCCCTTTCTGGGCCACCCCCCGCCCCCGTACCGGCCACCTGCGTTCCCCCAAGCTTGTCCGAAGTGGCGCCCGCCCGATCACCTCTCAGGAGCGTCCTCTGTTAAGATCGGCCTGGCCCGGGCAGTGGCCCTGGCCGTGAGCTCCTCCTGAGAGCCACTCGTGAACGAGTCCTGTTGGTGCTCCGAGTGTCACCTGGCTCTCACCACCTCCTACAGCCCGGCTGGCCGCTTGCTGGCGGGCAGATGGGGCAGCCATGTGGATCCGGGCGAGCAGAGCTTGGGGCTCTCCCCGGGGCCCGCGCTCACGGACCTGCTCTCTCCTTTTGCTCTCAGGACCAGTATGTTTTCCTCAACCAGTGCGTCTTGGATATCGTCCGATCCCAGAGGGACTCCAAAGTGGACCTGATCTACCAGAACACCACCGCCATGACCATCTACGAGAACCTCGAGCCAGTGGGCGTGTTCGGAAAGACCAACGGGTTCATCGCCTGAGTGCGGAGGAGGCCGGAGCTCGGCCGGAAGTGCCCGCGCAGGCCGGGACAACGCCCGTCCGCCTGTTTTCCTGGTTGTCCCAGACTCAGCTCTGTCCTGTTCCGCTGGGACC